CCCTTGCTTTACACTGAGGCAAGTTTGACTATAAATTATTCTTGAGAGAGCACATTTTCTTTTCAGTTCGTGTTACAGATTTAAAAGTAATTGCTGTTTTAAAAGTGCCTGTAGTGGTGTAAGTACAAACCTCCCTCTTACTATGAACAGCTCTGCTCTTCCTTACAGGGCAGAAGGCTATTATGCAAGTAGAACTTTTCGGTGTTACTACCTTTTCCTGCTCTCACACTCTTCAGGGTTGCTGCAATGACTTTATTTGCACCTGCTTCATTAATCATCTGGGCTGTCATCTTGTGGCATTCAGCTGTATTCCAGACACTAATACCGCTGAGATAATGCTCTGGAATCTGAAGACCACAGGCATGTGGCCAAGTTACCTTCAGTTCATCTTGGAGGGGAGTGGTTTAATTTCTGTTGCCATTTGTTAAATAAAGGAGAATTGTTTTCTTCAGATAGATTCATTTCTGAAAGGATCATGCAAATGGAAATCTCAAACTATCGATACTGTCATTCCATATGCTATTTCAGTAATCTCTTCTACTTTACTATGGTACATTATTTAATGTCCTACTGTTTCACATGAACATCTGTAACAAGATTGCAATGAAAAACAGTGTGCCATGAGGTTAAAAAAATGAATACAAAGTGACTTAAGTGCTCTGGAATCTATCATGTGACTGTCCTGGTTTTGGCTGGGATAGAGCTAACTTTCTTCGTAGTAACTGGTGCAGTGTTGTTTTGGCTTCAGTGTGAGAATAATGTTGATAACACACTGATGTTTTAATTGTTGCTAAATCAGGTTAAGGATTTTTTTAGTTTCCCAAGCTCTGCCAGCAAGCAGGTGCACAAGAAGCTGGGAGTGAGCATTTCTGGAACAGCTGACCCCAACTAATCAAAGGGCTCATCCATACCATAGGGCATCATGGTCAGTATATAAACTGGGAGGAGGTGGCCAGGAGGGGTGGATCACTGCTCAGGCATCTGTCAGAGGGCGGTGAGCATTGTGCATCACTTGTTTTTTCTTGGGTTTTATTTCTTTCTCTCTTTGTTATATTACTTTTCATTATTATTGTTATTGCTTTATTTTATTTTAGTTATTAAACTGTTCTTATCTCAACCCACAAGTTTTACTTTTTTTGGGTTTTCCCCCTATCCCCCTGGGAGTGGGGAGGAGTGAGTGAGCAGCTGTGTGGTGCTTAATTGTTTGATGGGGTTTAACCATGGCAGTGACAAAGGAGACAGGCTTAAGTGGTGAACAAGTATATTCATTCTTGTGAGAATACAAGAGATCTGAACCAAATTTCATGTGAATTTTGTGGAACTTTTAAGAGAATTTAAATTAAGTTACAAAGTTTATGATTGCTGCTTATCACTGAAATGTACTCTAATCCTAAAAATCTCCACGTTCTGGAAACCAAAGATACGATTTTCAGTGCTGAATTCAATCTTATGTTACTATCTCAGTACTTTATCAGTAAACTGAATACTATCATCAAAGATCTATAGTTGAAGATATATTTTATCTCTTCTTGTAAAGACGAGATTCAAACATATATTTGATGGCATTAAAGTCTGTCCTGGTTCAGCTAGGATAGGGTTAAGTTTTTCTCAAGCCAGGGGGAAGGGCTCTCCAGGCTGATGTCAGGTCCAGCGGTAGCGCGGGAAGCTTTCCTTTGTGGCTTTGGTTACGGGAAGCACATGCATCGGGCTGGCTGTGTTCACTGCGGTACTTCTCTGTATATCTTTTTGTCTTGTTTACTGTTATTACTGTTTATTGTTGTTATTATTGATATTGTTGTTGTTCAGATTGTTATTACACTTGTATTAAATTTCTCCTTATTTTAACCCCAGGGTTTGTGCCCTACTCGGTCCAAGGGTGGGGGAGGGACAACAGCAATGTGGTCTCCGGTCCCAGCAGGGCCTAAACTATCACAAAGTCAAACAATGGCTTATTCTAAAAAATGTCCATGGCCTTAAATTCTGTGCAGCTTAACTCAGGAAACAATACTTGGAAACATTCCTTTGAACACAGGTGTTGTGGTAAGACAGTTGCAGAGAGAAGATTTTGTTAATTGCTACATTTTCTGTAAGCCAGATCACATCAGACTTTATACATAGTAATCAGCACCCTGTATTTCACCTAAAAAGTGAAGTGATCACCCAGTGCAGACATTTGTGTTCCTAGCCTTTTTGTACTGACCAAAAAGATGGACAGCAAAATTCACATAGACTGTTCAAGCAACCTCACAAGATAGTAGAGCAACCACAAACATATGTGTTAATTGCAGAATATTCTACTCCTGTGCTACAAATTTTTTTTTTCTTCAGTTTAACCTTAAATACGTAGGTATTTGTCCTGAACTTCTTTGGCATTTTGTAGTGGACAGAACTACCTTCAAATGTGGAACTTGGCTGCAAAGATCAGTGACCAGTTTTTGACTGTTACTATAAATAAGGGAAAAACCACAAATGGAATTTGAGACATTGTGTCTGTGCAGAATTGTCCCAGGCAAGTTCAAAATACACAGGTATTTGATGTTGAAACATTCCCTTTCTTTCAGACTAGGGCAGGTAGCAGACAAGACAACATGACAGGCACAATGCTGCATTTGGAAACATGACTCAAACCTTTAAAAGGTGGTTCTGCCAAAAAGAATGGGCAAAATATACTAATTTCTGCCTGAATTGCCTTGCCCGTTTCTGAAGAAGTCTACACATTACAAAGGGCTGGATTCAGACTAACATAAATGAACACAATGCTGAGCACTGCTGGAATCATCCAGTTAAAAACAAGTTGAACATAAAAGAGTTTGCCAAAGGGCTCATCCTTGCAACATCTTGATGTAGAGACCTTTTTTAGAATGTATCTCAGGCAAATTAGAGAAAAAAAAATAAGAAAAAATTTTTTTTTTTAATCATGAAAGCTCAGAACTCCAAAAGTGAATTACTGATTCCCACTGGTTTCCATGGGGTCAGGATTTCAGCTCTATGTTGCAACTGGATACTTATATATCTATGCTGGGGACTGGAGATCACTGTCATGGGAGTGTTCAGAAGATTCATAAACCAAGCTGCTTCAAACTTTAAAACATAACAGGGACCAGTCTGTAAGCAGAATAATTACTAGTCATAGATTGGTGAGTGTTTTGGGTTTTTTTGTCTTGGAGGTATATTGTATGCAGGAATCTCACTGCTGGATTTATTACAGTGTGGAACATAGTGAAATCAAAATGTCATGCTTTTAGAATGGAAAAGGGACTTGTGGAAAGCATTGATTGTGCTGACGAGGGATACAAAACTCTTTGTCTTTACAGACAAAGGATTGGTCTCAGGGATTCTCTGATGCTCATTTTTCAGGTACTAAACACAAAGCATGCAAGGTGGTGGGTTTTTTATATATTTTTACTAGACTCTGTTAAGTTATGACCTTTTGAAAATATGTGAAGAAACAGTTGGGTCATTACATCGTTCCTTGCCAAACTACAGAATTCCTGCAGGAGGACTACTGCTTGGCCTTTCTGAGAATAGGTAAGAGTTTGTCTCTGGCACTGACTGCATCATCCACAGAGTTTTACATATAGAACAATTCATATGTTCATGTTCCATACAACTAACTGCTAAATACTTTTAAAAAGAATGATTGTTCAGTCAACCATCTTAATTTTTTATTTTCTTAAGTCACAATAGTCATTAGCATAAAGGACATTCTCTTAAAGTCGATCAGATACTTGTGGAAGTGTCTCTAAATAAAGCTAAAATCTGAAAATAAGCAGTTCTTTACAGTATATTGTGTATCTGAGTGGAAACTTCAAGTCTGGTTAAGGTCAGCTCTGCTTCTTAGTTTCAGAGCTACTGTGGGACCCAAACTGTGAGCTAAGGCTGTCTTTTCTAGAAATGGAGGAAGTCAAAAGAAGTCACTTTCTGGGGATAAAACCCACTAACAGTAATAAAGACCTCACTGGAGCAGAAAGATGCAACTCATTCTTCCCTGTGCCTGTTAGACCGAGTTGGTTTTCCCTAGCGTTTGTGAGGTCTGTGAGAAATGTTTGGATAAGATCTTTTGGTGCTGTTCCCAGAACATGGTTCATGTGATATCAAAAAAAATCCTGATGTTTTGCCAGGGACCTTTTTGTCATTGGGAATTTAGAGACTGGGTTTGTAAAGGGTTGGTTAAGTCAGAATACAAAGAAAACTCCTGAGCAACTATTGTGGCAGGCCATCTTCTTTCAAAGGCTACCAGAGGCCTGTACCAGGAGACTCCACCCAGAAGGAGAATGAGCAAGGGACCAACAAGTGACAGCTTCTTTAGCCCTGCAGAGCTGGAGCTCTGTTGTCTAGGCCATGGATTTGCACTGAAATAGGAATTATTGGAATAAATAAATGAGGTCATTATAACCTTCCATAAAGCCAGAGTGTCGTTGTCTTGAAGCAGGGAGATCAAAGAAGCAAAGACCAGGCTGATGTACAATTATTATTTTCCTTCAACTGCAAGAATTAGTGACTCTAGCTGCCTGAGAAGTGGGAAGGAGGAATTGTGACTATGCTCACTTAAATACTATTTAAGTAGCATTACTGTCTCTCTAGATCTCAATCGAAACGCATGCTTTCCAATCTTTTTTTAATCTGTAGCCCATAAGTTTTGTCCCCTGGCAAGGCAGTCCTGGGTGGATGGAAGGTCAGCATATTGACAGTCTTCTTCACTGCTTTCCATTCATGTCTTAAAATCTGGAGTTGCAGACAGCCTATTTTTACTTCTGAGTAAATGCAAGGAGTTTACTTGAATTTACTGTTGCTGTTCACTGTAGTTGTTTAAGGTGCAGTCTATCACCACCTGTTTACAATATACAAAAGATGAGAAGGAAGCAAGTTTTCCAGAAGCCTTAAAATTGTAGTGATCACCCATTAGGTAAATTGTGCATCCGTCCTTCTGGGGATTTTTGCCTTAATAAGTGTAATCAAAAGGTTGTATCAGGTGACGTCAATATTTAATATTTTTTCAGAACTTTGGACGCCATGGGAAAGGTGCAAGGAAATTAAGACAGGAACTGAGACTGGAGAAAAAGGTAAAGCAAGAACTGGAAAAGAAGAACTCACAAGTGAAAAACATAACGCCATTGGTCAGTACTTGCTTAGGGGAGCTGAAAAGGTGAGAAACAACATCCAAATGTATCATGTTTATAAAATTTCTCTAAAATCTCAAAATATTCTTCTGCTTACTGATGGGTATGTTATATAACAACTGTTAGAATTCTGAGAAGCTATTTTGCCCTGCTTCGTATTCCTTTTTTTTTAATTATGTCACTTATTTCTAGCTTGTTTTCCCTCCATAGTTTCCATTATGATCTGGTATCAGGGAGGTCTCAAATAGGTAAGTGTTCTGGGGTCATAATCATAATTAAGTCTGTTTGGCTTTACTATGAACAGTTTCCTATCTGACTTACTGTAGTCTCAGTCCTGTGTTCCTTTTATGTGATTTACCTTGATTTTCTCAGTCATCACTGCATTGGGTCAACAGACAGATCAGCTGGAGAAGTTATTACAAGTGCATACATGTACATATACAATAATTTATACATCCATGTGAAAGAATTTATGCCTAGAGGTCCATTTTGTTTCAAGGTTCATTGACCAACACCCATACCACTTAACTACTTACATAAATAAACATGCTAAGACTGAGAAAAGGGTACATATTTTAAATTAGATATTAATGAGATAAAGAAGAAAAGTGCTGACATAAATCTGCAGAAAAATTCTTGAGCTTGGGACTGACTTGCTGATGATCTCCTGCTCCCTAGGTCAGAGTGTGTTCATACCACGTGCACCATCTTTCTGAGTTCAGTTTGCAACTCCATCTCTGAAACCAGCACATCCATCCTCTTTCTATAAACACTACTGCCTTGACCTACACTGGCCACTATCTGGTGCTTCCCAGCTACACTGAAGAAGAGAAAATGGACTATATCATACTGTGGAACTTAGAAACCAGAATGGTTGGTATTATTTTTTGTAGGCTTAAATGCACTTTTCATGTTGCAAAGAGACTGCTAGATGTGGTATTTATGAAAATAACCAAGAGTTTGGATGGTGAATATTTGCATGAAACTACTCAGAAATTACAAACACAGTAAGGATTACTTACTGAACATGTTCTCTAGTTGCTAAACTCTAGTTGCTAAAAATTCATGTACTCATTTTGCCAGTCCCTTCCACCAAAAATTAACACTTATCGGGGAAAGTACTGTGAAACATTATTCCCGTGTTTCTTGAATAGGTAGAAACCAAAGCATAGTATCAAGGTTTGCTGCTTAAAATACCTGAACATCTACCAAATTTTCTCTAAGTGTGGAGAATATGATTACTTTGTTACTAATTAATTACAAATGCAACAAGTACAAAGCAGATCTGGAAATCCATTTAGGAGGTAATTTATTTCAACAGTACTGAAACTGGGCCTATCTTTCTACTGTAATAGGATGGGCACTTCATATATACAAACATATCCCTATTTTCACTCCAGCAAATAGGTAGTACTTCTGTACAGCAGCTAGAACCTTGTCCCTGGGTAGTTGTGTTCTGCAGCCATTGCCTGAATTGCTAGGTATCTTTAGAAACTTCCTCTCCCTGATCCTAATCTCAGTGCCTCTGAGAAATTGCACCATTCCTCACATCCTATGCCTTTAAATGTTCCTCAATTGTGGATCTGGATTTCTCTGAGAAGAGGAAGGTAAGCCTTCCCCATGGACTTTGTGCTACTGTGGTAGCATAACCTTCAACACAGTTCAGCTCACTTTCACCAGAGGAATGTAAGGAACATGCAACAAGTGTCCACCCATCTGGCCACTGGCAATGCTCAAAATGTGCTGTTAGGTAGGGTGGATCTGATGGCTCTGCTCCCTCTCCTGTCCTGCATGCTGAGAGTAAATACTACATTTTTTTCAAATTATTTTCAGAGAGAACTTTCAGGGGAAAAGGTAGGAAGAAGGAGAAATATCAGATTAAATTATCCTGGAGCTTTGTCTGGGCCTTCAAGGATACGTCAGTGCCTTCCCACAGCTCAAGAACTGCTGATCCAATCCATTCCCCCTGCCCAAGGGCAGGATCAGTTATAATTAAATTGATGCTGCCATGGTTGTCTAGCCTGTCTTGTAGCATCTTTGTCACTGGAGATCTTTACTTTCCAAAGTAATATATTCCAGTGCTTCACTGTCATTATGGTTGGGCAGTTCTTTTATGTTTTGTTTTCTTCCTAGTGTCTTATTTAAACCTTCAGTGCCCTATCCGAAGGACGTTAATTATTGTCCTTTTCACTTAGACAGATTGCACCTTTCAGAAGCAAGCTTTCACATTACTGAGGACTACTGACTTCAGTCCTCTTGTTTTGAGACTTTGTTCTATTTTTCATTAGAAGTCATTGTCTTCTATTAATACACCTCTTCTCTATCTTGTTGCTTATTTAAACGCCTTCCACCCTTAAGTGTGGTTTCCAAAACTGAATAGCATATAATTACTTAACATGTCTTAAAACAGCATTCCTATTTATTCATCTCACAAGATTTGTTTTTTCTGAAATAGCACAAAATTAGTGACATGTTGATGTTACTCTCTTCAAATCCTATTTTAATTGTCATTGATTATTGTACTATATTAAATAATAATTAAAGTGCTATTCCTTAAGACTAATATCAGATTAATAGTAGAGGTGTTTATCTGACAGACTAAAATTAGTATTTTTCTAAATTTTAGGTTTAAAAATTATAGAAAAATTACTCAGATGTGTACTGCTTGACAATTACAGATGATAATAGAACTGGTTTTGGAGTCATGGTGGAAAATGGATAAACTCCTGAGTATGTTCCTCTTTTGTTATTACATGAATGGTACACTCCACAGTCACCAAGTTTCCCTACCAAATCACTTGCTCCAAAAGAAAAAATGAGAAAGCTAGCTAATGCTGATAAAGTAATTTCATGAAATGCAAAGGATAAGTTAATAGATTTTGTGCTTCTGCCGCTAGGTCAATAATTCTGCATTTTTGGAAAAACTACGTTGTTATTTTTTCAAACAAGATTACTCTTGCATCATTTTCTTTCACTCACTTGCATCCTTTCACTAAGTATGATAATACTGTGGTTGGTCATCTCACCAGGTTTTTGCTACCTTAAGAAATAAGATATATATGACAGATAACCAATGGTTTAAAATGACAGTTATATTGGTTTCTGCTTACATGCTCTGATCTTCTAAACTGGAAATGAGAAGGAATGTTGGGCAGCCATTACTAAATAGTTGCATGATTTGTTTGAAACTAGGCTTTGTTGTGTCATCTTTTTTAACCAGGGCTTTCTTTATATGGAACTCAGGTTTTAAGTATGACTACTTGTGAATCATCACCCCCTCTTTTCCCAGATGAAGTAGATGATGATCATTCCACTCTGGACTAAAAATCTAATCACAGTGACACAATCAAGATGGGGAGACTGGGCTGAAGAAGGTACAATTTAGAAGCCCAAGCATCAAACAAAATAAAGAGAACTAGGGAAAATTTAGTGATAAATGCAGCCAGTCATCTCCAACTACCCAGTGAGATTCCAGTGTCTATATTTATATCAAGACTTAGAAGAAACTTAGTGATTTTAAGGCTTGCATAGGAGTAATGAGAGACAAGTGAGAGAAGTTATGCATGCCATTTATCTAGAGCTATTGGAAGTCCAGTCAGCCTCCATAGTTGTGTTTTGTGATCTTTGTAAGTATTACAGCATACACAGTGATCTCTGATTGGTCTTATTTAAGGTTTAAACAGGTATCTGCTTGAAATGATACACTGAAATAAAACTATGACAAAGTTATTATACAGTCTCTTTTAATGGAGTTGTCTATATCTGCACCATCTTCAGTTGAAACTCCTAACACTGTTCGTGGCAGAAATAGCAGTACCGGTTATTACTTCAGTTACTTCCCATGGTGTGTTAAGAACCCTGGCCCAGCAGAAGGTTAGCCATGTTTTAGAGCCTCAGGTTAGATGGCTTTGACTGGGATACCTTAGTTAGATGCTTTTGGTTGATGCACTTAAGCCTTAGGTAGAAACTTGGGCATTTTGCTGAAAACACAAGCAGTATCTTACAAGAATAAGCTTAGTGCCATCTCATTAGTCAGTATTTGCATGACTGGCTTTAGTTCAGGAGCTTGTACCCAGTGTGTCTCCTCATTTTTACTATGAAAGGCAAAAATAAACAGTTTCAACATCATTATGTGTTCATGGCTGGTTTTTCTAATAGAGCCAGCTTTTGAACAGAGACAAAATCTGTTTTGTGCAGATTCCATATTTTGCCAAGGCCACAATTTAAAATCGTACCTCAGTCTTATCAGTTATTCAGGCTCTTGAATAAGAGATGAGCATCTGCTGAAAAGTGTATTTGCACAACACCTTAGGAGAAATAGGCAGAGAGGAAAGGCAGTAGCTGTTAGTATATTATTTGTATCAGTGGAAAAATAAAAGGTGTTTGAAAGCCCAGTCAGCCTAAAGAACTTAGTTTCAGATATAAAGGAGTATGTGATTTTTCTATTCTTCAGATAATTCCATTTAGAAGCTGTGCTTAATTTAGCAAGAAGGAAAACTAGGACTATAATCTGGGCACATTTTACATATATTTATATGCGGATTTACGTTTGCCATAAGGCTCAAGAAAGAACATTATCAAATGATCTGCTGTTTTGGCAAGCATGCTAATATGATCTTAATTTAATAACAGCTTCTTCCTCCTGAGTTTTTTGAATAAACTTCTGCCTATAGGCTGTATTCCAAACTATCATGATTTTTTTTTTTTTTTAAAATCCTTCATCCAGATACAGAATAGATGCAGGTATGTTTCTGGTTACAGTCAGGATCAGGACATTTCTCCTGTGAGAGACTTGCATGATTTGAATTATTAAGAAAAGTTTTCAATTTCTTCTCAGTTAATTTAATTCTTGTGAGTTTTAATGGCCCTTTACAGTTGGCAGTTACTGAAGCTGTAGTTCAGTTACTCTGGTGCACTCCACAAAGTCAAGCCTTTGAAATCTGTAGGTGCTTTCTTCTCTGCTGTTGTACCTCATGCCAGCAAATACAGATGACAAGTCATTAAATACAAGAGAGAAGTGTTAGCAAAAAAATTTTATTAAATATGAGACTTATGTCTGACCTGCTTCCCCCAAACCAATTCTGTCTCCATGGCAACAGCTACAAGCATGTGACAAAACATTTGGGATCTCTCTAAAGAAAAATTTAAATACTTAAAACGTCACTTTTTAAGGAAGCATCATATTTTATCTTCAAGCAGGTTTCAAAAGTGCATAGCCTGTTTACAGAAAGACAAGCCTTATGGCTTGTAAAGTTTTATCAGCTAATGTATTAAGTATGCTCCCCACTAGCAAGCAGGGCCAGCTGTTGCCCAGGCATAAGAATGAACACGTACTCATAACTTACCTGATCTGGCCGTGCTCTGAGAATGGGGAGGTATGTCTTCAGAAGTCGAGTTTAGAATAGCTCTGGTATGATAATCACAAATTTTATTGCAATAAATCATCCAGAAGTACCTTCAGTTTACTACAAATATTTTAATAGTGTAAGAGGGGAAAGACTCAAAATTATTCTTACCTTCTATTGCGAAATAAAATGTAATCATAACATAGATGAATTTGCTACTCCTGTATATTCTATCATTAGATTACAGATTACTGCATTGAAAATCATAGTCAAAGTATGTATTTTTATTTAGAAAATGCTCAATTGTCTGTTTCTGTATGATTTAAATTATTATTCAACATTTCCAAATTTTATGAAATTAATATGAAGAGCTCTTCACTGATGCAGGAATTCTGATGATCTAACTGGCACTCAAAAATCCAAGTGATTTACTGTTTTTTAAATCTTCTTAAAAACTATCCCAAAAGCCACTTAATTGTGAGATTATCTTGCATCCTGTGTCCCAGCTCTACTGGTTAACTTGTACAAATCACTGTCTTCAATTGATAATACAATTGTGTTAGCATCTCAGTATCACACCTTTGAGGAAAAAACATATTTAGTTGGGTTTTCTTAATAGAATTTGCTATCTATATGTATTTGAGTATGTTTTTATCATCTGTTTACAGGAAAAAAAGTCTGGGATCCATCTGAACACCAGCATACCATTATTGCAGGTTATAAAGGTGTACATCATACTGTGATCAGCAAACTCCAGCTGCTGGAGGAAAGGGCAAAAGCAGTCCTACTTGCAAGTCCGTAAAACTGATTATTATACAGGTAATGCTTCTACAATTCTATTTCTCATCCTTTTCCAGTAATACATGGCATGCTAGTATTAAACATTTACAAGGCAAAATTTCTAAGTAGGCAATAATGTAGGCATATAGTGGGCTGCAACTCTAGTGTGGTTTTGATATTATCTTAGTTTTATTTGAAAAAATGATGGGTACGTTCTCCTTTTAAATGGGATATTGAGGACTTAAACTTGGCTATCTGATGAGGTGAAAAGGAGCCTCAGAATAATTCTGTTACTGCCCAGCAGCAGCTGACAGACTAGGAGCACATTTTTGTCCCTGCACTGGAGAGCAGGATTGATGATCCCAGTTACCAATCCCTCCCTGTCTCAAGCACTATATTAATGGCTCCAATAAAGTGTTTCTCAGACAATTAAAGACATTCTTCAAGGCCTTAAAAGCACGTAGTCCAATGAGGACAGGGTCAAAAATAGTCAAAGAACAAGAAAGCAGAACTAAGGAAATAACAGTACCAGATAATCCTCATGAAAATAGCAGAAATTTGGGGAGGTTTGTTGTTCTTGTTTACCACAATTTCTCTTTACTCTAGACTTTTAATCTCTATTTATAATTTCCACCACTCAAAATGATTACCTATTCATTGTTAACCTCAAACAGCAAGGAAGCAGCATCTCCATGAGTCTGAAAGGAACCATAGCTTTCATGGCACAAGTATGAATGATTGGGGCAGCTATGAGCAAATAAGTTAATTGCACAACTTCTGTCCGTATCTCTCCTCTGCTTGTTAAAATAAGCAAGCCAATACTGTTCCTCCAGTGCCAGCAAATGCAGGTACTGTGGTAACCTTACATTGTACCTGTCTGGGTGGCTGTTTCCCAGGTGAACCTTGCTGTATTTCTCACTGGAAGGTTTCAGTTGCAAGTAAATTGCAGTCTTTTCCACAAAAGTACAAAACAGATTTACGCACCTAAAACTTGTCAGATTTTTAAATTCATATTTGCCTCTCACAAAAATCTCTCCCTCACTGAGACCATGCAGGGGCAAAATTAAGTTTGGGGTGGTATCTATAAGCCTACCATTTCCTAGCCTGACTGATGACCTAAATAAAACTTTCAGTATTAGGTTTTTCCAAGATGTAATTTATACTATGGCTGTCAGGAGTTAAGATAGCAGTTGCCATGGAGCTTTAATCTTTTTTTAGGTTTTAGTCAAAGGAAGCTGGAAATCTGTATGCTGGGTAGAACCCTTTCTCAACAGAATTTTATTTAAATTGGGACAGGATTTTATCCCAATTTCTCTACTGAAAGTTATTCTCAAAGGTTCTAGAATTTTTTATTTTAATTCCATTTCTCAGGAGGAGATGAAAGTTCCTTTTAGGCTTCTTAAATCACACTACATTCAACCACAGAAGTACTCAAGTTGCTCCCCCCCCCCCCCC